AAAAGCCTAATTAATTAGACTTTGGTACCTTATTACATAGAGAGCAAAATTAACACCCAACTGGAAGAGACAAGTCTTATTGCTGTGGCAACAGCATTAGCCTGGACAGGGGTGGGATAGGAAAGCATAGAGAGTGAATCTGCTAGGTGTGATGATAAGCTGTGGGTAGGAGCATGAGAAAGAGGAAGTGAATCTCCCTGTATCTAGAGTCTCGGTCCTCTGTCCTCCAGAGTCTCTGTCCTCTTAGGAAATAAGGTCACTGAGTGAGAGGATATGAGGAAAAAAGCAATATAAAATGACAAGAGCCATGAGCTAGCTCCAACGGTTGCCACAAGCAGTAAATTAGCTGGGAAACTGCAAGGTATAGAGTAGATGCTCCGTAAGCAATGTGTGTGTGTGTGTGTGTGTGTGTGTACATGCACGCGCACATGCACATGCCCTAGTACTGGGGCTTGAACTCAGGGGCTGGGCACTATCCTTAGCTTTTTTTTTGCTCAAGATTAGTACTCTACTACTTGAGCCACATTCTGCTTCTGGCTTTTTGGTGGTTAATTAGAAAATGAGTCTTGCAGGCTTTCCTGCCCAGACTGGCTTTGAACCATGAACTTCAGATCTCAGCCTCCTGAGTAGCTAGGATTACAGGTATGAACCATCAGCGCCCAGCTAACAACGTGTTTTGGCTAATTAGCACTTGTTCATATGCCAAGAAAGTCCTTATCCCTGTGGAAAGGCAGCACTGTCATTTTCATTGTTCTCGTGTGCAAAGCCAAGTTCAGAGATGCAGAAACACTTGACCACAGTCAACCCAGTTAGTCAGTGGCAGGGCTGGGCTCTGAACCCAGGCAGTCCGGTGTCAGAGTTCCCCGTTCCTGCCCACCTCTCAGTTTTCTGGTGGTTAACTGGAGATAAAGAGTCTCACAGACTTTCCTGCCCAAATTGGCTTTGAACTATGATCCTGAATTGCTAGGAGGACAGGTGTGAGCCACTGGTGCCTGGTTAGTAACTGACATCTTGAGGGACATTTTTAGGGGGCAAGAGAAGCTAATTTCTAGCTTTTTTGGGGTTCAAGGTTCAAAAATAGCTTATCTTTCTTGAAAATGGAGTGAATGTCTTGTCTCTGATGCTCTCCAAGACACTCATAAACTTTGAGAAGACATAGGACAGTACAGCTATTGTGGTTGAGAGTGTAACTCAAGAGGAAGAATACCCACCTAGCAGAGCTCAGAGTCACACCCCAGGGCCTCCAAATGAGTGAAGGAAAGAGGAAAGATTAGAAAAGAAAGGAAGGGGGGCTGGGAAAGTGGCTCAGTGGTAGAGTGCTTGCCTTGCATGCCTGAGGCCCTGGGTTCTATTCCTCAGCACCACATAAGCAAAAAGAAAAAAAAGCCGGAAGTGGCGCTGTGGCTCAAGTGGTAGAGTGCTAGCCTTGAGCTGAAGAGCTGAGGGACAGCACCCAGGCCCAGAG